CTTGTGATGGTGTCCCGGTTATGTTGTGATGGTGTCCCAATCATGTTGTGACGGTGTCTCGGTCATGTTTTGATGGTGCCCTTGTCATTTTGTGATGGTGTCTTGGTTATGTGATGATGGTGTCCAAGGAAGAGATGGTCGATGTGTTGAAAACAGCAGCTGTTTCCAGATTTTTCTTTTTGTCCCGGTTTGTATCTTGCTATTGGGGTCTCCAGCTGGGCTAATTTGTCTCTCTTCGTGATGCCCTTATTCTGCAAGTCTGGCCAGGGATGCTATTTCCGCTGGCAGAGGCGTGTCAGTGACGAGCTCGTTCTTTTGGATGGCATGGCAAGCCGTGCTCAGTCAGCACTTTGTTTTTATCACATCATGCGCAGGTGTCGTGGTGTCACGAAGGATGTGCAGCTCTCAGAAGATGTGCCTCGCGGCCCACACGGTGATTCGTTTGGTCACCGACCTTCGTTCGAGGCAGATCCAATGGGTGCTGTGACTGCCTTCCGCAGCTGCGAGGTGCGTTGGGTTCGCATCGAGGTGGGAGGAACTCTCAGAGCGCGGCAGGCCGGCGGGGCGCCAGCCGCAGCTTACCGGCAAGGAATACACTTGATGAGGCACTGTTAAATGTCCTGATACGCAGCGTTAACCATATCGTTTGGGAAACATAGTTTAAGATGTCGGCGAGCCTCCGATTCTTTCACACAGGCGGGAGCTGCTGAGATGGGCCAAAGCTTGAGCCTTTGATGTGCAAACATTGAGCCATATCGAGCCCTTCAACAGACGACAAGCCCACTGGTGCGACTCCCTGACCACAAAAGCGCAAACACAAAAAGCTGATAACAAAAAACAAACTATATATATATATATATATAACATACTAACACTCGAAATGAATAATTTCAGATGTCCTCAGATTTCTGACTTCAGGCCCCTTGGAGAAGCCCGACCGCGGAGCGGCGGGTTCGGCAGTTGGACGAAGCCCGCGGAGTGGCGCTCTGTGCAGATCTCTGGAACATGTGACCCGACTCCCCCGTTCGTAGCGTCCGATCGCTCCTAGTAGTGATGCCAGGAGCCCCTAGTAGCTTCTTGTTCCTAATAGCTTCTTGCTCCTAGTATATAGTAAGGCCAGGAGCCCCGTTCGTCGCGTCCTTGCTCCTAGTAGGGATGCCCTTTGCTCCTAGTAGCGTTCTTGCTCCTAGCCTAGTAGTAAGGTCAGGAGCCCCTGGTAGCGTCCTTGTTCCTAGTAGCGATGCCAGGAACCCCTAGAGAGCATTGACCCCCTGCCTCCCCCAAGATTATGCTTTTTGCCTCGCCCCTCAAAAAGGACCATGATGCCGGGGTAGGTTTTATTTTGAGGACGATTTGAGGTTTCGGAGTGTTTTTTTTGAAGAGCGTTTTGGACATAAAGACATTGATAGCCGCATTGAACATTTCACCGACAAATTGTTCAGACTTGCTAAATATACATGATAGTGCGACCCGACCGTCCCCACTTCGATTCCTGCAGACGGCATTTCGGAGGTATCGAACAGGCCCAATTTCTGACCCAGGCTGGACGTGGCCGACGACCACCGACATAGGTTCCACACGTGCACACATGCAAGAGGAACCCACACGTGCAACATGAGCCAATCAAAAATATGCAAACAAAGCCCGAGGAAGAGATCCTTACTAACATGGTCAGTTGATGTCAAGTGGGTATCCAAACGGGTCATTGGAGCCCACAATTCACTATGTTCCCATATTTTCCCTTGACAGGCCTTTCCTTGGCATTGGAGCGCCGGCTACGGCGACCTGCAAGAGAAGCCCTAGGCCTTCGCGAATCCCGGAATCTGCAAGAGCTGTGCTATGTTTGTGTGAAGATGCCATTGACAGACTACATTAGTTGTCTATTCTTATCAACAATCTGGACCTTAACTTATCCATCCTGATCTGCCCGCTTTGAAGGCTCGTCCTTTTGCAAAAAAACTATATAGTGACATCATGAAAGGAGCCAGGCACACTCACAGGAGGCTAGAGCAGTACATTCAGTTGGCACTTTGTAAATGCACAGATCGACAGATTTATCTATATGATTCAGCGACTTCAATAGGTTTACCCAGATTCATTTTTTTTGCAACACGCTTAAACCTAAAAGCCTTGCTTAACCCTTAGCCTCACCATGCAAGCTGTTGGGCGAGAAAGCGATGAGGACTGGGCCAGGGCTTCTTTTTGCGTAGTAAGGTGCCTTGCTAGTAACTAGTAGCGTCCTTGCTACTAGCAATGCCCTTTGCTACTAGTAGCGATGCCCTTGTTGCTAGTGGCGTCCTTGTTACTAGTAGTAATGCCAGGAGCTACTAGTAGCTTCTTGTTACTAGTAGTAAGTATTTGTGCCTGGACAAAAGCATTTTCGATTGCCCCGCAATTGCACCCCAATCTTCCTTGCTGCCGTTGCCGATGGCTCTTACCTGGCACCTATTCATGCGGGAAAAACACTTTGGTTGCCTTCTCTTTTTTGCAGCTGGCTTGCCATGCTGCCTAGTTCGGTAGGATTTCTTATTCGAGATGGACGCACCATATTCCTGAAGCTTGCTGAGTTTTGGGTGGCTTGAGAGGAAGTGCCACCAGCAATGTGCGACATGGACGCGCCGCCAGAGTCTCAAGCTGTGTCTGCTTGAGTATAAAGAACTTTGATATGGCGACTGAACTTGGTACTGAAGTTGGTGCCTTCACCACTTTTAGTGATTTTAGTGTATTCTGTATTTCCCTTTTCCATTCTTTTTCAATCCTTTTCCTTTTTCCAGCAATCTCGGGGACTTGAAACATCCTCCAAGCTGAACCAGACAGCACAGATGTGGCAGTTTTAGACGCCCTCTCGACAGGTGTTCAGCCAATGGCAAGTTTGACGTGGCAAACGGCATTTTTCCTGAATGCATTGTCCAAGCCTTTGTCGGAGGAGAATCAGTCGTTCAAATGTTCACTGTTTCCAAACACGTACATTGAAGAGGTAGGACACTTCCTAGAAGCACAAGGCTGTTCATAATGAAGGAATACTTCCAAAGAAATCCTGCGACCTTTACAATCGCATATGTCTGGCATTTGCACCAAGGTTTGGTGCTGGATTGCCGGCTGCACTCAGTGCACCGGAGGACTTTGGTGGTACAAACGTTTCTTTCTGTGCAATCAACATGAACATGGTTGCTAGGGCTTGGGGCTTCTTACGGGGCTGCTTGAGGCATATTGTGCCAGGACTGGTTGGGCACATGGGAATCACCAACTCAAGGGGTGAGGCGAGACAGCATAGCTATCACTCAAAACAACTTGCATTGCGCAAGTCTCCTTGGAATAAGTGCCTAAACGTGTGTAAACGATCCTAAATGTGAAGGGCTGCGTGATCACTAAGCTTTAGGCACTTCATGTGGAACTGCAGAGATCCCAAGCTGTGAATCTTTTAGACTGGGAGAGTTTCAACGTTGTGCTACTAGCAATGCCCTTTGCTACTACTAGTCATGCCGCAATGCCCCTTGCTACTACTAGCGACGCCCTTGTTACTAGTAGCGTCCAATCGCTCCTAGAAGTAAGGCCAGGAGCCCCGAATGTAGCTTCGTTCGTAGCTGCTCCCGTGCCTTCCAGGTCTGGGAGTTGGTTGGCCTTGGTGCTGAAAGAAACCATGGTCAGTCGCCTCCTTGGCCCGGTCGGGCTGTCGGTCGACTGGTTCGCCTCGGTCGCCTCAGGTTGGCCTTTGGCCCGATTGTCCGCTACATCCCTTTGAGCCCAAAACTCATTGGAAGGCGTTGCAAAATTTTTTCAAGATGTCGGTCATGCGGATTTTTGAGCTTTCCTGTACTGGTGTACTTGATGGAAGCAACCGTTGCCGTGTGCATCGCAGGGGAACCTGCGACGAGGGCATCGAACGGGCCATTTCCAAGTATCGGAATCAGAGTTGTAGCCCCTTGAACAACTGCCGCTTGGCTCAGATTTCTCTCAACAGGTTGCAGGTCCCTTCTCGAAACTATTCCAAAGGTCGCACAGGCAAAAGTATATTTATGTAGCAGAACTTGAAAAGTGGTTCCTAGTTTTGCGGACAATCAGTGTTCTTGAAATTATCCTTATCAAAAGAGCAGGACTTCTATGGCGAGCAGAGAAGCTACGTTCTATACTTAAGTTTCCCCAAAAATCTAGAAACCACATGAATAGCGTGAGCTATCCTGCGTCCATATTAAGTAGCGTCTTAGTAGCTACTAGCTACCTCAATTCCTTATCTAATTATATAAGTAGGTAGTCTCTACTTGATTAAGTAGGGAGGGGGAGAGGGCCAAAAAAGCACCAAAACACATTAACAAATCAACTCCTGTTTCCATACTTCATGACCTTCAAACATCATATGCAGCTCACAGTGCAACCACTGGCCAGTTATGTGTGAATTTCTGAGGCCATTGCTTCGTGGCAGCGTGCCTTTCAGAGATGAAATTCCTTGGCATCCCTTGTTGGGGAGCTATTTGGCACAGTCCTTAGATGTTTAACGTCCACATTCACATTCACCTTCCAGACACCCAGGCCACTACTGGCAGTCATGTGACCTGGCCAAAAAGGGATCTGGGGATCCGGAGCTGTTGTGAGCGAGCAGGGCATCATCCAATCCACAGGTCCACTATATATCTATATATATGGTGCCCCCCCCACCACCCACAAATCTACCGTGTTCATGTGTCTTCAATACATTAGTGTCAGATGTGCGGGGCGGCGGGGGACCATATATATATATATAATGCAAAGTTTAGACAACACATAACTAATTATTTTCTAAAACACTAGTTTTATTGGACTGAATTGAAGATTGAAGATGCCTAGAAAAACTGTTCTCGGCAATCTTCAATCCAGGTCCAAAAATCCTAGTTTTTTTCTTAACTAACACAAACAGTAACTAGCTTTTTTTTGGGGGGACCTGGATTGAAGATTGCCGAGAAAACTTTTTCTAGGCATCTTCAATCTTCAATCCAGGCCCAAACAACAAACTTTTTTTGGGACCTGGATTGAAGATTGCTGAGGCAATTTTTCTAGGCATCTTAGTCAAAATATCACGCACTGTGGTAACCCCGAACTTGCCATGTCATGATGTGTTCATGTACAGTGTTTTCGGACGTCGGTCGTCAAGACATTGTTTCACACCGACGCCCATCATGGCTCAAGAAACAAGTGCGCCCGTGCTTGTTTCAGCACTCGTGCACGCCGGTCGGTTCGATCGTCGTGTCGCTGCATTCGTTCGCTTCCGTGCCTTCGTGCATTTCGGGTTGTGTTTGGTTTCGGGTCGGTTGCCGTAGGTGCTCCCTCCCCTAACTCACATCCCATATTACACAACGGGGACCAAGCCCTCCGGGGTCCCTTGTCGTGTCCCATCCCGTGCTAGGGTTCTTGATACAATTAGTTATCTCTCTGAACACCTCCCACTCCGTAGGTTGTGGTGGCTGTTCCCTGTTGATATACCTGAACCCTTGTCACTTTCATTGGTTATCAGCCGTAGGTCTAACCAACCTACGAGCTCTAATAGTCCGCCTCCAATAGTACCCATGCCTAGGGTTACACCCCCACGGTCCCCTCAAGCAAGGCAGCGCCAGCCGCTGCCTCTGGCGCGGATTCGACAGGACTAAGTGTGGCCCCCTCTAGCCAAAGGTCCGAGGCAGCGCAAGCCGCTGCTGTAAGCGCGGACTCGCTAGGAGTAGGTGTAGAGGAAGAGCAGCAGGTGACGTCCCTGTCGGAGTTAGGTTCCCAAGCCGTGGATGCATTGAACCTGTACATAGACAGCCAAGACCCACCAACCGCTGCCGCCGGCGCGGGCTCGGATAGTTCGAAGCGTGGCAGTGCAGCCTCCGAGGCCGATTCTGGCCCCACGTTGTTCCCAATGTTTGTCTTCACCATTGAGGATCGTGGAATCGAACCTGAAGAGCCATTCGCTGGTCCCGACGTTGATTGGGAGGAACCGGACGCCCCAGGCGAGGGTACCGCTGCTTCAAGCGCGGTACCCGTTGACCCTGCAATTGAGACTACTAACCAAGCCGCTGCCACAGCCCAAGGTCAGCCGACCCCTGTGGTTCAGCCTTCGTTAGATAATACCCCACCTACCGACTCCACCGACCAAGGCCCGCCGGCCCCGGAGGAGGAGGAGGTCTCGACTAGCATGAACTCCCCTAACCCTGTAGAGCAAGATCAACCGATCCCTGCAGAGGAGGAGCCTGAAGAGTTCGTGCCGCCTGAACGCTTGATTGCACAAGCTTCGTCAACCCCACATAGTCCGCCTATCCCCACTAATAATTTTCTTTTTGACCCTCTTGGAGACGACGACGAGTCAACCGTCGAAGACGATGAGAGCGAAGAGATTGCTCGACGGATCCAGGAACAGTACGACCTTGAGGCCGCCCTGGAGGCATCCGCCGCGGAGGCTGGCGTTGAGCCAGAGCCCGCTAACGTCGAGAGTGAGGGACCCCAGCCGGGGAGTGGGGGTGGTGAAGCCGCTGCTTCAGGCGCGGGACAGGGAGAGAGAGATCGCGCCCGAAGGCGGGGCTGCAAAGCCGGTGCGAAGCACGTTTCCGGCCGAGAGAACCGCGCTTACGGGACCACGTGCGAGTACATCGGAGCTCAGCTCGGTAACTCCACTTACGCGCGGTTCGGCCGCCAATTTAATCTCCCCCACATCCCACCACATATTGCCCGCAAGCAATATCCGGAGTGGTTCGGGTATGTCCTTCGACACTCCGACCGGTGGGCTTTTGACACGGACGGAGAGCTGCTACCAGTAGATACCATCCTCCGATGGGCTACTATACTACCAGAATTGT